TTTATGAAATAACTTTGAACAACACTCTTTATAAAAGTTTGAAAGAAACTTATGAGATTTATAAATGTCATGATTATACAACTTATGATTTATGTAAAAACTGTTTCACTTAATTTGTCCCCTTCTCATATCTATTCATATAGTCTTTGTAACTCACACATTAATTTTTTTTTTACAGAACAATGAGTAACTTATTATCTTTGTCATGAAGACAAGCTCTCATTCTTTCTTGGTAGGTGTTCTAGCAATCCACTTGATGCCCATAAGATCAAGTCATATTTTATTGATAAGTCGGTTTTTATTTTATTATTATATGTTATTGAATGTTTTCTTATAAGTATGTTGCTGCAAATGGCTCTATGATTTACAAATTTTTAAAAAATTTGATAGTTAAATGTTTGCAAAGAAAATTTTACATGGGTTATGAAAACTATTTTTTGAATTAAAAGTTTATTAGCACTTTTATACGCCGTGAGGTAACATTTCATCACGTTGTGATGGTGCCAAGTATGGTATTCATTAACATTTCCACCCATGATGATGTAGAATTCCACCACGCTGTGATGATGCACCAGATTGCATGTTGATATATAAATGATAATGCGTATGCTTGATTTGTATGGACAGTGTGGTGTATAATTGATAAGTAAAGGGCTTGCTTAGGTTTAATGGGACATACTTACAAAGGTACATGTGCCAGTCATATCCCAAAAAGTGTGTGGTAAGCTTCCAAACCAACCTTAGTTGAACAAGAAACTAGAATACACGAAAAACCTACCTAATAACGGAGTAGAATTAAAAGTTAATCACTTGGGAAAATGGCTATGATAGGATTGGCGCTAAGTTTTTACTCCGAAATTATCAAGTATGATGTAATTGACACAACATGTGTGAAACATTTAATGAGGTGATATTAGAAGTTATTCGCAAGTCTATCATTAGCATACTAGAAGATATTAGAATATATGTGATGAAGAGATTAGTGCAAAAAAAGAGAGTATGTGAGTAAATGGAAGACTAATTATAAACTTAAGATTATTGAAATTTCAATTTGAAAAGCCAAGGAGTTTTACTGCTAAGTGAGAGGTTGAACGGAATTAGGGGAGGGACAATTTAGTAAGGGACTTAAGTGGAGTACCTTGTCAACATACTATGAGTGCAATTATGTATGATGGTTCAAACCCTCTTCATATATCTTCATGGTTCACAAAGGAAGCTTATTTGTTTGCATATAAAAACACGTTAAACTTAGTAAAAAGAATGATGTTTTGGCCCAAAAGCATATATGAGTCTGTTTTGCCTTCTTTGGTGAAGAGGAGGCTGGGTATGTCTGCCACGAGAGGAAAGAAAAGCACTTGAAGGAAAGAGTAGAATCAGACTTTCAAGGGTTGGGAGGAAGATGACATGGTTACTATCTTCAAGAAGCCCATAATAAGTTAAGATGTTCAAGGAGAATAGAATATGTAAAATTATTATTTTATTATATTTGTGTAAGAATTTCTTTATAATTATGTAATACATAGATTAATTGGTTAACTTTCTTTTCTGTAAACCACTTTTAACAATTCAATGTTTCAAAAAAGGAGAACAAAAAGCAACAACACACAAAAACACAACCTTGTTGTTGATAGTAATACTGATGAAATAAGTAAAAATTATAGCAAAGTATATAAATATTGATTTTTTAGTTCTCCGTGTTATTATATTTGTACTGTGATTAAGAAGGAAATTTGATATTTATGGGATTTAAAAGATCTATGTATTTTTTTTCTTTCTTGATGTAAAGTTCATCCGTTGCTTTTTACATATTTTGCTTTCAGCATGATTATCTGTTAGACTATAGTAGTGAGTTAGAAAGTGAAATTAACCATTACGAAATTCAACAACTTTTCTTTGGAGAGAAGCTGGATCTTGGATCTAGGCATCGGTTCAATGTTTGTATAAGTTACAGTTTAAACTAGTATATAGTCATAGTAATACTATTAAGAGAATCATGTTTTCAGCAAAATAAAATTGAGTTTGGTAATACTAAACTCCCATTAATATGCGGTTTTTTGTGATCTCATTGAGTTAAGTAATAATAAAATTTGGATCCATTCTATTATTGTGTTTTCATTATGCACAAAAAACAAAAAAAAGGTGATGGCCACATGAAAAATAGATTAATTAATACAAAGCGTGACACTGAAATACCTATACTTAATGTAAGTAAATTATTATTTTATTATTTCAATATTTTATATTGACTATTTTTTTTTCATTAAAAAAGACTACAACACTTGGAGAAATGGTTATTGTTGGGAAAACCATGAGGTCTAGTTCCTGCTTTATTCCAAATCAATTGCTAGTAACAATTAGGATTGTTTTTCCTACTTCTCTATCATTGTGATTGTATTTTTGAATCTCATATATCATTGCCATTTTTCTTAAATAAATGATAATTTGAAATTTTTTATCGAAGACCAACAAAGAAAGAAATAAAACTCTAAGGCATTCAAAATACCGAGTACAAAACAAAAAATTTTGAATTAATCTCAATGCACATCGTCGGGAACCAGGTTATAGAAAATGATAATGAAGATATAAAGTTGTCACTTGCATAAGAAATTTTATGACAGTAAAGACGCACAAAGCTCAAGTTCATACCAAGTATTTATTTGCGGGAATGAACCTAGTTAAGTTCCTTAATTAACATTTTATTTACTAAGACAGGAGGCAAATTTCTTTCCAATATCAACTTCCATTCATCGACTCATTTGTCCAGAACAAAGATAAAAAGACCTTAACCTACTACTTGACCAAAAATTTTGTTTAATGACACCTAGGCTTGTCGGGAAAAATGATCTTTAGGTTATGTCGTTGGATTAAATAATCAAAAGATTTAAGTTATCTAAGGATCCTATTGACAATATGTCATACAACATTTGGTTCTAAACCTCCTCACCAAAACCCTAGTGCCCTCATTTTCTTCCTATCAAACTCTAGGCTCAACAATGGAGTTACAACACCAGAATTTGAAGATCACAAGCACTGTGCTGCATCATGTAATTCTTGCTACAACTGTTGAAAGTACAGAGTCCTTATCATAATTAAATGCCTACTCATCTTCCTACAAAAATTATGATGTTCTTTTGGGTATAGAATATGAATACGCAATATGCATGCAAATAACTGAAAATAAACATAACCGCATAAGGTTTGTTTGATCCAAATGACAGGTGCCCTCCTAATTCACCTCACTTATCAGAAGCTAAGACGTGAGTTTTTTCCTTCATTTCCTATGCCATCCCTAATGAATCCAAGTATATGACTAATCAGCACCAAATACGCCACAAGGGCAGGAAAACATTGCTGAACTAAAAGGAACATAAGAACCCTTTTTTCCCTGGTAATAGATAAGCTTGTAGCTGTGATTATCTCTATTCTGATATTCCGAAATCCCCTCAGTAACTGGGATGCTCGGATACTCTCCCACAGTAGTTGGGGGTTATTCTATACAATGAAGCCAAGAAACGCAGCGTGTAAGGCTATAAGTACGGAATATAGGCACAATTTCAGCAATATTTTGTCTTAGTGCGGGAAGGGGCATTTGAAACAAGTCAATTCAGGTGGTGCCACAACTCCTGTTGTAGAGATGAAGAGGAGGAGATTATGCAGCATAGCAACTAGAACCTCAAATAAAGGAAGACTGTAGTTTTGCTTCGTCAACTTGAGCGAAGGTCCTCCCTTGTTTTACGGGGAGTCGACAGACAATTTTACTAGATTTAATTTTATTGTAATCTTTTTACATTTGGAGATGACAGTGATCGCTTTATTATCATTTACCTCAATGTTCCTGCAGAATGGTAGTAATGCTGCTTTTGTCCAAACTAAACTGAACCCATACAAGTACCTGAATACTTAAGTTGATTTTAGCTTTGTAGTACCTTTCTGCAATTAGGGTGTTCAAGCATTCTCAACTTCTTGTGCCTTGCGAATCTTCAACAGTTTTAATGAGAATCTATTAAGTTGCAGTAGGAATGAACACAAATAAGAAAAGAAATGCACCATCATTTGTAACAGAACATCAGAAAAATCCAAGCACATGAAAGAAATTTATCATCCATCCGACCTAAACTTCTTATCGCTTGGCTACAATGTGAGCCTCAAGTAGAACCCTCGAGGTAACATTGACAACAATATCAAACACAAACTACTGGACAAGGAAACAAGATCCCATGCCAAAATCAAGTTAGACTTGTGGCTTAGTCTCATCCTCATCCTCTTCAATCTTGGGTGCCAAGTAGAACCTGATATAACCCATCTCAGCTATCTTGTACTCAACCACAACAGGCAGTTCTGAAGACAAGCTGATTGTCACTGTATTTGACAACGGAGTGGCCTTTGTAAATGAGTTCATGTACCTCAATGCAAATGTCAATGACACTGGATCGTTCATCTCTATAATTGTTGCTTCTTCCGGCTGCAAGTGTTTATCCAGAAAGCAATAGAACCATCAAATTAGTCACCTTATATAACTAGGAAACAGGACATAACATTCTATAAATGACCATGTTTAAACAAATTACAGCACTTGCAGAAAAAAAAAGCAAAAATATGGCAGGCCCAAAGAACATACTTTATCTACAGTGGTATTTTGCCTGAGAACAATATTTGCAGTTCCAATATCACCTCTTGTGGAAAACTTCACACCTTCCTTCGTAACAGAGATAACAACTGCAATCACATCAAACTAGAGTTAACCTTTGCACAAGTACATGTAAATGAGCTCAACTAAAAAGATGAAAGAAAAGCCTAACAATCTATAATCTATAAAATCTATAAAGCAAAACATTTCAGCAGTACCAGTATCACCAATGCTAGCAAGATCTTTACAAATCCTTGCAAACTCAGCTGAAGGCATCCTAACTATAGCATGGTACTCTGCCTCTGGAATTCCAAGGTGCTCACTATCAATATCCATCAGCTTCATCTCAAAATCTGATATCTTGTCTTGTGCTTTAATCCATTAGCACAGCCATAAAAGAACACACACAAAAACAAATGTCAGTTCAGCCTCATATTAGCAACAAAATTAGCAAGTCTAGCCAAAAAACACTGGAGAGAGTCTAATCCCATTTCAATTGAATCAACACAAAAAATCTTCATCTTGACTAAGAGTTAGGACAAACCATTAATAAAACATCAAAATTTTTTACATTTCCAAGGCTTGGTTTCTTTTGTTCATCTCCCCGCCACCAAACAAATCACCACAGTTTTATAGGATAAACAATCATTTCATAGTTGTTTACAGCTTTCTTTAGCTTTCCTAAATTTCCCAGCAACCAAACAGAAGACAATTTTCCAAAATAAACATTCAATAGATACAATCCCAAAACAAATTTCCACTAAATCCCAATTTCCCAAAACCCTAACTACCCCA